GGCTGCAAGCTTGAGTCAATCTCAGGCACACCAGTTCCTCCCCAAGAGTGCCTCGGCCTTGCTGTTTGCCTACTTGACCATGCCTATATACTTGCCAGTCGAGAAGCCGATGGTTTACTTCGAAAAGGATGGAATTCATGCAAGGGTCCCCTCGAAAACTCCAAGGCACCTTCAGCTCAACAGAGGGCACGGTAGAGGCCGAAGCCTTGCGCCCCAAGGCGGAGTTTTCGGTTTTGGGTGGGGGGGGGGGGGGGGGGGGGGGGGGGGGGGGGAGGATGCATCACGGTTTGAATAGATAGGGTTTTTGGGGAGTTTAGGCGGGATTCCAAGTCAATCTGGTGTGATGTACTCCATGTGCAGACTCCACAGATTCCCTAGCCATCCCCAGCCAAAAGCACCCCAAACTGAAAGGACACCAAAGGATCGATTGGAATGGACCTTGCTGCTTGAAGCTTCACGTTTACTTTGGAGGCTCTGGTGCGCAGCGCCGTCGGAACACCTCTAGAGGCCTTGTTCCGGGGGCGGCGAGCCTTGTAGTCTTGCAGTGACTTTCGAAGCAGTTTTGCGAGACATGCAGTCTCAAGTGCCTCAAGTTATGCCAACAGTCAGTATCGCAACATGACAGCCTATGACCCTGTAGAGCTTCGGATGTCCATTTCGTGTCTTGGATTCGTGCTGAACCAGAATGATGCCCCTGAGTTGCTATGAGCTCGATTCAGACCTCCCGTCAGACGCATTAGCTGCAATGGCTTCTTTCACGTACAAGTTACAAGGCCTTACCTAACTGACCAAAACTTGTCGAAATCTGTGACAGGTGCAGTCCGTGACCTTCCGCCACCTGAGCGACTGCGACGTCGTCGAGCTAAGCCTCGGCGAGGCGTTGCCCAGCGCGACGGTGGTTGCGGCTTGGCGCTTTCGCTTTCCCTAGAACATTTTCGAGCCTGAGCCATCCTGAACCTGTGACTCGCAAGTCGTTGGGAGGAATTACAGGGATCTGCAAGGTGCCTGGCAGAGTCGGGCTGGGCGTTGTTGCGGAAGAATTGAGCCCAATGCCCAGGCAAGCCACCTTGTTATGATCCTTGGGGAGCCCGGGCCCACTAACAAGGCGCGCGGCATGCTGATTGACCACTTTTGTCAAATGGCTTCTTGCGAGCGTCTCTATGATGAGTTGAGATGGATTGCTCAGTGCGTTGGCTTGAAGGATTTGGCGAGGCTCAATTAGCGCACTCTTGCCTAAATGGGTTGGTCAGGTATGCTGTGGTATACACATGTTGCTGCAGGCTCATCAATGGATGTCTTTAGGTCTCGGAGCACCTAAACCTCCTGGCGTCACTGGAGCGCTGAGGAAGCAAAAGCTGCCTATGTCCTATAATGCCCTATGGCCAGTTCTGTAAAGGTTCGACGATGGTGGTTTTTGTGGGCATCCTAGGGTGCATACTCAATCAGGTACTCCCCAAAAAAGGAACTCTAATCTATAGAACCGCATAACTTGAAGGTTGTCGCCGCCTCCGAGCTCCGGGTCGGCGACCGCATCGCCCTGTCTGGTGCCGAAGTCGAGGTCAGTGGCATCTGCCAGCGGTCGATCAGTCACGCGGCTGTAAGACGGCCGCATGTTCGCTCCTTCGAGACAGGCTGAGTATCGTCGTACGGTTAGCCTGAGGGGCCTTACGTCTTACGTGTGCTTGTGCAGTTTCAGCCGGTAGAACCACGAAGGGGTGTTATGGTGTGCACCTGTAGCTTATGTGGTAACTTGGGTGCAGTCGATTGTCGATTTCGAAGCTGCCGCACCATCATGTTAAATGAACGGCTAGCAACTTTGCAACCATCTTCAATTCAGTTCGAAGTAATCAATTGTTGATAGGATAGTCTCCCAGTTCGATTGTGGGCGGGCCAAGTTCAGGAGTGGAATGCCGCTCGTACTCATCCAATGTAAGGTTGGGGCATGTTGAGGCCCCTAAACGGAACGAAGAGAGCCAAACCAAGGTCACGTCAACATCATCGAGGCGGACGGGCTTTGGGTCTGGCGGGCATGGTAGGCGGCACTCCTTCTGGTCAGCCACGACAGTCAAGCTTCAAGTAATGTCGCCATTTCAGTCTAAAGCAACCTGTGCTACCTTGTACGGCTATGGGTGGCAACTGAAGCAGGTCGAATTCAGCCCCGATGAGCCGGTCGGGACGCCCCTGGCTTCAGAAGCTGGTTCACGTGCGGTTTAAGTTGGGGCGGGGCAGTTGTGGATGCTGTGTTGGGGTCCTGGCTTGGCAGCGACAATCAGTTACATGTGTGCAGTTCTCATGATGTCTCATGATGAGCGACTTTGCCCGACGTTGCCTTTGTTTGTGTGTTTGCCAACAGGGGTTCGGACGGGTTGATGTTGTCGTGCCTGCAGGCTCCTGGACGTGGTTGAGCAACAGTTCAACCTTCGCACTGATGAGCCGCAGTTCAATTTCCACATGGTGTGAACCATGCATCAATTCCTGCCCGACTCCATGCTACCATTCGGGGCTTCTAAGCCTTCGCGGCTGCCCCGACTTTCAAGCCCAATAGGGAGGCTTATCGTGGCTCAATTTTAAGAATGCCTGGAAATGGCCCAACAGTAGCCCAGCTTGGGCCAGCACTCGTGTTGATCTGATGTCAAGTGACAGCCCAGTCAGCAACAACTACAACGTTGTGACAGACATCACAAGAACGACTGCAGTGACAGCATTCGTTGTAGAAGAGCTCCAGTCACGGCTTTCGGACATGTATGCACTGACAGATGTTGTTGGCATGGGGGTTGCTTGCGCGGTCGCATCCAATGCGTGCAAGGTTAACTTGACGAGTGCCTTGTTTGCCTGTGCAAACTCCATCCAGTTCTTCTCGCGCGGATGTCCCGGGCACAGAAGAAACGTAAACTGGTAAGCCCATTCACGTCTGTGCAACTCGTTGAACCAAATGGGCCCCACGCACGCAGCAATGTGCAGACGTCCGCACGAGTGGCATGAGTTCCCATTTGTAGATCGAACCCACTGGGCGTGGGGGCTTGTGGAGCTGGGACTGCGACTGGCGGATCGGAACTTTCTTGACAAGACATGGACCGCACCTACTTCATCATGAGAGTGTGTTCCACGGGTCCGCTCAGATGGCAAAACGGACGAGGCTTGTCTCGGAACCCTGGAAGTATCCGCAGCGTGCCCTGTTCCCAGATGCTACCCACAAAATTCAATTCGTTTGAAGAAGGGCTTCATGATCAGGCAAGCGGCCCTGTACAGGTCAAGCCACTTCCGAAGCTCCGAAGCATCAGATCCTTGGAATGATATCCTTGCAGTGTTGAGCAAGCGGCTTCAGTTTGCTCCGGACACCTTCGTGACTTTGAAGAATTAGCATCAAGCATTTGCTGCCTCATAGGAGGCGCATCCTCGCGGCAAGCGCCACATTGAGGCGAAGTGAGAAGGCTTCTCAGATTTAGGGAGCAGAGGAGCTGTCAGAAGTCATGTACCAAGCTTCTCTTTCTCAGCTCTGAGCCACCCTGAAGCCTGCTCTGCTTGTCAGCAGCTGGGTGCCCTCCTGCTTCTTCCCTTGAGGCAGCTTTGAGGTTCCAGCATGTTCAAACGGAGGAAGCCTTAAGATTTTTTGTGAGTTCGCCAAGGACGGTTTTCTCAGCCGAAGAACTTTGACAGTTGCCGTAGCATGACGAGACCTTTTTTTCTGCACAAAACGCAGCCTTGCATCGAATCTCCGGAAGCTTCTTTATCTGGATGACGGTTTTGTCTTGTGGATCCGGGGAGGAGTTTCCGTAGCAGCCGCAGGAACCTCTGAAAGTTTTTGCCCCTGCAACAGGCAGGAGGCAAATAATCCAAGACCCAAGGCTCTCCTCATCCACTGTTTTCCAATCTCTTTGTCACTAAGCTTGGCCGAAATGTCACAAGGCACCTTGGCCAGTTGTTGATGAGAAGGGCGTTAATTCGGATAGAGCTCAGCACATCCACTGCTGGCACTTGCCCCGAAGTCCCCCTATCACCGATTTGTATCTTGAAGATTTTGCCCTGTCAGTAGTGCACTCCAGAACATAGTGCAGTGCTGCGGTGTTTTGGGATCTTCGGGTTAGTCCTTGGATTGGGGTGTAAGTTTGCAGCTGTTTGGGGGGTGCTACAGTACATGCATGACTGCAAGTTGCGATCAATATGGAAGAGAAGTAGCATTCTCAATTATAGCGCAAGCATTATGGTGCTTGTAGTATAGAGTCTCATTTGCTGCTCTGCCGCAGTATGTCTGAAATGTATATGCAAATCGTGACTCACTGAAGTCGTTGGTGTTTGCATATGGGTCTAAATGCCTGCTCTACTGCACGATTAACTTTGTTACTGGTTCTGCCGGCCACTTCGAAACAATTGCCCAGGTAGCCCTTAGTGACTTAGTGAGCGACGGTGGTGGACATGCTTGCTGATGGTAGGGCTGCTGTAGGTTGCAGCGACGAGCCGATCAGCGTGGGACACTTAAAAAAGATGGTGCGCTCGCTGCCGTGTCACGATGCTACGAGGTTGTAAGGATTTAGGGCTGCAAGTATGTAAACGTTCATGCAGCGCTTGGAAGCAAGTTCGCTGCTGTGAACCAAATGTGCCGGTATCAGTTGCACATCTATGCATCACCATCAGCAAGCGCTTTTGCGAATCATCGCATGTATGTGGGTTGCAGTCGAAATAAAGTGCATCTTCCCTTGATGTATGCGGGTTGCAGTCGAAACGAAGTGTCTCTTATCTTGACACGATATAGATATTTAACAGTGCGTAGTGGTGGGAAAGCGCCGGTTTGTTGAACCATTGTTGAACCATGGAAAATTTTGAAATCATGTAAGACGATGCAGGAGAAGAGAGGCTCTTGCTCCAGATCCGGTTGACACGAAGAAGAGAGTGATAAAGACCAAAGGCTTGCAGATGACTTGCCCGAATGTGCATGTCTTAGAGGCGCTTCTTATTCAGGCGAGACTAGCCCTGAACCCGCTGAGCCTTTAGAAGCTCCTGAGGCTGATTCACTCCGGGCATTTGGACCTCTCAGACTTCATGGAAGTCAGCGGGAGGTCCGTGGGGTGCATCACGGTCTCCAGAGAGTCACCGTTTGCAATGCAGAGTTCGTTTTCTGGGGCTCCTTCGCAGATATTCGCAGTGCCCATATGTCGAACATGTTGGGATAAATCAGGGTCCTTTTCGGGGGGTCCAGCTATTACCGTATTTCTCAGGCACTTGTCATTCCGGACTACATGTCCCAAGCCCCCGAGAAGTCGTGCAACCTCAGCTGCTGGCGCAGGCCCAATCCGAACACTGTCGCTTCCATACCTCGGCCCCAAGCTCAGATCGGGAAAAAAACGCTGGCATCCTTCAGAGAGTTCGACGAATGTGTAGGTCCCAAGGCTTCGAGACATGGTCATCAAAAAGGAATTGCCCGAGAGCCGAGGCACTTGCGACTCGTCGTGGAGCTGCCGACCGTGAAGAAGAGCAGCGACATCAAGATGGAAGTTCCAGGGCTGATCATCAAGTTGCTTAGTTCGGGTTTGCTCGGGCGATGCTAGGCTCCATTTAGGGCTTCGGGTCGAGGATTTCCGGCTCAGGGTTTATGGGCCACGGCCTTCTGTGTAAGGATTGACATTGCATGGGGAGTTCGCAACGTGGTTTCAAGAGCCAGAGTCGTCAAGCTACTGTTGCTGGGCGATCTTGAGCTTGGTGGTGACGATTTCAAGGCACGATGCCAGAGGGGTTTGGAGTTGTTCCTTCCGTGCCTTCATCCAAGTATCCTCCCTCAGCTGAAGAAAAGATGGAAAAAGAAGCGAGGTGTTCAAGGCATTCTGTATGCCTCAACTCCCAGGGCACTTCGCAATGTTCGAAGCTTCCGCGCCCAAAGTTGCAGTTACACACTTTGCCATCAGCTACAGCGATGAGGTCTTCATATCACCAACACCCACGATCCAAGAATCCTTGAAGAGACCCGACTACCCCCTTAGAGGGAACCAGTCTTGGTTGTTGAATCCAAATGCCTGGGTTCTGCTATCGCAGAGCCTGTCCTACAAGGTGACCAGCAACAACGTGGTGCTGGAGGCTGGAGAACTACCTTGACCATCGCCGCACTGCGGCTCCCTAGGCCATGGCCAACCCTACGGTTACCTGTGAGTCCATGAGTCGCCTATGAGTCCCACCGCTTCTTAGTCAAGATGATGGATTACCGATCCCAATGTCCACGGCTCCTTTACGGGTCCAGAGACAGGCCTTAGCTCCCAACTTGACAGTTCAAAGAATTATCTTGGCGGTGAGCAGGTAGATGGCAAGTTCTATTTGGACATGCCGCTTCCATACGAGGCCATCATCTTTGAACGCAGAGTGCATTGGACCTTCACTCGGTAGCGGCAGCGGCGGCAGCAGCAGCAGCAGCAGCAGCAGCAGCAGCAGCACGACCAGGTAGTGGTGGTGCTTAATGTAGGATGCTGACTAGTGTACCCCCCCCCCCCCCCCACCCCTCAACAACAAAGATCCTGTCCTGGGGGGGGTGGTGGGGGGGGTGGGGGGGGGGGTCTGGCGGCGAGGCTTTCAAAGGAAATGCATGAAGGCTTTCAAATTCTTTATTTCTCACAACTCCGGTGAGCCAAATCAAATGACGCTGAATAATTCACAGATGTTTTTGCTCACAATTCCGGGGGACTTTATGAATCAGGATGCAACATTACAGGACGACATCGACGTGTTTGCGACTAGACTTACATGTTACCTTGTGGGCATGCTGACGCTTCATGTTTCAGGTGATCAGCATGTTCATGAGTCATTCTGGCTCTGTTGCACATGCGGAACCTCGGAATGATATGTTGCACTCTGTCAGAGCGCACCAACTCTTTGACAACATATAGGGTCTCTGGAGAAAGACTAGGGAAAGAGCGCGCGAGAGACAGACCCTGGGCCCGGAACTACAGACGAGCGGAGATGGCGTGCAATGAACAGAGACTCTCGGCCTTGCCGTGGCGAGGTGCAGGAGGCCAACGGCAGCGCGAAGTTTGACAAGGCGCCGAACAACCGAGGTAATCTTTCTGCCGAGTGGGGTTTGACGTGATGTGCAACGCAGGCGAAGCAGACCTTGACCTTAGAGTTGCCTGCCGAACACCCAGCTTCAAAGGGTTTTGTGTTAAGCTTATGTACGATAAAATCGTCGAGAGATTAAGCCGGTGAGCTCGAGCCCTAGATCAACCCGAGCTTCAGCACGTAAGATCGGAGGTTGTAGTTGAAGCTTTTTCCACAGGGCTTGCAGTTCAACCCTAGGCTTGATTTTATTTCAGAGGCTCTGCAAAGAAGGGTGTCGACTTGGTGTTGCAAGGGTCGCAGAGATACAAGTAGTTTAGTTTCGGGTTTGCTGAGATTGGAAGCTGCAGCTGCTGCCGCTGTTGTAGCTCGGGGGTCGCGCTTCAAGAATGAGCGACCGGGATAAGCTTGGATAGGCAGCATTGAACGTCGATGTGTTGATCCTTACTTCCATGGTCACTTCAGTATTCGTAACTGTTCGTAACTTTGGTCACTGCGATCAAAGTGCTATGCTTTGCCGAGGTCGTCCCGAAGATGCCGGACCCAGAGGCGTTGGCAGCGGCACAGCGTCTTCAAGGCTCCACTTTGGGCTTACACAAGAGGGTTCCTGAAGACTCGAACTCGGATCTACTTGCTGCAATCTGGCAACCTACCGTGCCCTACCACTAGCACACCTAGCAGAGCACGGACTGCTATCGCGGCATCTCGCTCCGTTCTTGGGAGGCTTGGGATCGCCTGCCGGCGATGACGGCGAGGTTAGTGACCACGAGGAAGAGGCCACTTGGGATAAGCCGAGTCCAAGTGACCTCAGTCTTGCAGCTGCGACTGTCAGCTGTGGGCCTGAGCCTGCACCCGCCGCAAGCAGTATAAAATTCCTAAAATCCTTCTCGTGAGTTTCTCCAACGTGGACACAGTGGACACACCTTCTCATCTCCTCTTGCTCTGAGGAGCCCGAGCTTCCCCCGCTTGAGGAGCCCGAGCCGCAGGACAGGGCGCATGTGCCAAGGGTAGCGCCATGAAGGTCATCCATTCATGCAGGGAGCACAAGCGCTTCAATGAGAAAGGACAAGCCGGCAAAAGAGGAGACCTCACCCGTCGCGTCCTGAGCTGCTTCTGGCCCAGCGAGCAGACCCAGCCCCTAAGACAAGTCTGAGCTTGAGCTGGAGGGCGACAGTTCGAAGAACTGGAGGGTGAGGCTGGGAATGACTTCAAGGGACCGGAACTCAGGTGGCTGAGGTGGAGGAGACGCCAGCAGTCCCTGAAAAAGTTGTCGGGGACCCTACGCTCTGACTGCACTTTGAAGGGACAGCTGGACATTCAAGACCGACGAAGCAGAAAAGGGGACCTGCCATCTTTGATATCGTGCTCAAGACCATGGTTTAGGCATAGAAAACACACCTGAGCTCCACCCGCACTCCCAGACGCATCACTGAAGCCTGAGGAGCCCAAGCGCCCCCTGCTGGAGCTGGATGGCCCAGGCCTTTTGGGCGTTTAGTTGCCCTGCAGGGCCTCTACTGCCATAGATACCGGCCTGCGGCTGCATAGCAAGTTGTGGGTCACTGCCATGAGGCGGTGCCTTGAGATTGGCGACCGCAGCTGAGGCCGTAAGCGATGCATGGTTTAGGATTTTGAGGTGCCTGCAGGCTCAGGCAATCTCAGGCAGCAGTGGAAGTGGGCCTCGAACCTCTACCGCATGAATGGGTTCAGAGCTTCACGAGGCCGGTGAAACAAAGCGCGGATCATGCGGCCACAGAGGGCTCCTGGATCTATCATTCATGCCAGTGCGGGGTTTAGGGCTCCTCGAAACAGAGGCAGAAGAACGAAAACGAAACTGCAAAGACTTCGCTTCAGGCCGAGGAGAAAGTTGGGGACATGAGCCACAGCGTCGAAGAGCTTGAGGTTCGCAGGGCTTGCCTTGGCTTCCTGTTTGTTGTGCGTGCATGCGTGGGTGTGTGCGTGTGTCTGTGTATGTTGCTGTTGATATTTTGGTTGGCCATGTCCCTTTCTGCTCCAGAAAGTTGCTGGGCAGTTCTTGCGCTTGCCGAATCAGAGCACCTGATGCTAAACGAGTTGATGCCAGGACCCAAACGAGGAGGACGCTGAAGAGCTGCGGCAGCCTCGATGGTTGAAACCCACGTGCATTGTCTAGCACGTGACTGCACATTGCCGCGTGCGGTTGTCGCATTGTAGCCAGTCTCGGCATCCATCTGCGACAGGGTTACCGCATGCTGCAGCCGTAGATTGATTAAGGGCAAGAAGGCAATGTATTGTAGTATCAATATCTGTATTAGCCTTCTAAATGCCCCAGCTAGCTGTAAATAATTCTTTTTACTGTGGGAGCATCGGAAACCAGATTGAGCCCCTAGCCATGCCACACTTCATACGTGAGCAGAGCTTTACGCTTGTGCAATGTCAAAAACATGCCTCTACGCAGCTTCCGTCTGAGGCCACCCTTTATGGCCGCCGAGGCGTTCGGCGGGGCAAAAGCAGGCAGCGTTGCGGAAGGAAATTGGAGCAGCTATCTGCAGACTATATCGGGAATCTGGCGCAAGATTATATAATTTATGAGCACGAGGAATGCAATCAAAGCTCTGTAATTCCATGGCTGGAGCTGCCTGCAATGACCCAGAGGCTACTTCTTCGGGACGGGCGACGCGGGACTCGGTTACTACCGGGATCTGCGCCAGAGGGCCCGAAGGCCAGCCTCACTGGTTAAAATTTAGAGAATCGCTTGAAATTTTGACATTCAGGGGTTCGGAGTTTCGGATGCGCTCTCAATATGCAAGGAGGCCTGCAGTCGCGAGCATTCAAGTGAAGAGACTCGGTGCAAGGCGGCAGGAGCCCACTCCTGCACCGACTCTGCGCAGCGAAGGACCCCTAGTAGAGGAGGCCAGGATTGAGGGCCTTTCAAGTCTTTTGGATGGAGCGAGGTTTCTGTGCTGCTGTACTGAAGTTTTCTGGGGTAGTGACCATCCCACCAAGAAGCGGCAGTGGTATGTGTCGTTTTGTACTGGTTCAAGTTCCGGTCCTTGTGTCCTCGAAGTCAGAAGTATGGTCAGCGCGTGATTCTCAGCGCACGCAGTCGGCACAGTCATACCACATCTTGCGTAAAGGTTCCAGAGCCCGCAGCGCGGGAGCTGCCGAGCTATGCGCAGAGACATGTGCAGGACTTGCAGAGCTGCTCCCGGGCTCGTTTCTTGAGCATTCGAAATACGAGGGCTGCTTGCCAGCACCAAAACCAAACCTTGTTCGCAGGAGACAAACCTGCTGTCCACTCGCTTGCCGGTCTCCGACGCTGAAGTGGTCAACGAGGACCATGGCGGCATTTAGCACGCAGTTGTTGTGGACATCCGTGTTGCGGGAAGCTTCTGCATTCTACGCGTAATATGCAATCTCACAGTGTCAACACGAGGAGCCACCAGTGATTGCCCGCTTGGGCCGGCAGAATTTGCTGCTGCGACTCCAGCTCCCAGACGAGGCTTCGGAGGGATCTGAGAGGTGTGAAGGGTCAGGTGTTGGTAGAACTGCGAAGCTACTGTATGAGCCACACACCCCTGACAAGCATTGCCCACACGAGTTCGGACAGCAGGGCAGGTCAAATCGCTTCTCTAGAGTCCCATAGAATGCCATAGAATTTTGAACGGCGAAGCAGTGGACGAGAGATCCACTTGATGCCCTTGGCAGGAGCCTGAAGCAGCCGACCTCCGGCTGAGCCTCGTCGGGCGACGGCTAACGTTGTCCTTTTGCTCGAGGAGGTGTGACACCCGTTTGGAAGACGCAACGGTTACGGGGCTACGGATGGCTATAGGAGTGACACCATCTTAGGCTATATTATAGTGCCCAAACCCAAGCCACAGCTTGTTACATTGAGGCCAATGTCAGCAGCAAATCCTTGCACAAGCCACATCACCTGAAGGCCTCCCCTGGATGAGGAGGGCCAAGGCAGTCAAAGCTTGGCTGCACTCAATGGACCAATTGCAGGTATTTGGTATTTGGTATTTGGTATTCGGTCTGTTTGAGATGCAGCAGGGTGAGCGCTTGGAGCTTATAACACCACAAAGAACTGCTCGGAGCTTATGATGCAGGCGTGTGGCCTGCCAGCCTGTAAGTCCGACTATCAGTTATACGTGAGGCAGCTCATGAAAGCCCAAGGACATGTGAGGAACAGAAACAAAGCAGGTCTCCGTAACCGAACCAACCCTGGACCCCCAAAAGCCCAAAAATCAGAAGAGGCGGCTCCACCAGCTCGGGCTGGCGGCGACGCCGCCTGCGGCGCAACCTCGGCGGCGCCGGGGGACCGAGGGCTTTCCTCTAGAATTTCTTCCTCGTTTGAGGCAGAGACTATAGGGTTTAGGTTGCTGCTTGGCAGGTTTCAGGACTTTTGTGCTTTGCTGTGTAGAACACTTGTATTCGCAATGATAGCGCTTTACAGAATCTTCATTGTGTGCTTGACGTTGGTTGAGTTTCCTCTTGGCGAAAGGCGGGAGCCTCCACCAACTCATCATGACTTATCCCTCCCTCACATCATCTCATCCCCCTTGCTTTCCTGTGCTGTCTGCGAGCATCGTGAGCCGGCCCATCCTCCAAGAATCGGTCAATCGATTGCTCTCGCCGCAGCTCCGGAAGCAGCTGACGGTCCACTTTGACGTTTATTGTGGACATCCGTTGTCATGTTATTGCATCGGCGAGGTTGAGGAAGTGAGGTGGGGGCTGGGCAACACGTTGCAAGGAGGGGCCGAATGCCAAGCAGAGGGCTATGGGAATGGCCTTTTTTCAAGTTAAGATTTTCCTAGATCTGCCAAACTGAGGCGGTAGACCTGGCGCAGAGCTGTGCGGAAATCGTGGTTACAGGCCGGCCCGCTGTTTACTTGGAGCTGCGGGCCTCTACCACTTCCACCGCGACCCCAAAAAAGCAGCTTAGTGAACAAGAACGCAAATCTTCGTTGAGCATGGTGCTTCCGGCTGGGATGTCGAACGTTGACCTTCTGATTTGATGTTTCGCGACGTGGGTGAGTGATCAGAGTAAAGCGAAAATGCCCGCCATATTCCAGGTCGCCCGCCAAAGCGCGAGCTCCAGGTGGGCACATGACATGCATACGCCGGAGATGCAGCCCGGCATTTTTGGGCCATTTTTTGCCGCGGACTCCTTGGTCTGGTCTCTCCTTTCTTTGCCAGGTCGTTCTCCGAAGAGCCTCGAAAAACGAGGCACGTTGGAGGGCACTGATTCTACGCATCCCTAAGCCCAGGCGACCACCCCAACATCCCGACACGCCATATGAAAATGGGGGGGCCCAATGCCCAACGATGCTCAAAAAGCCTCAGCTCTGGAGGCTTGGGATTCCGCCTTCGCCGCAGCTTCAGCGCCGGCCGAAGCCGCGCGCAGCGAGGAGGCTGAGGTGGCCATTTGCATGCGTTGGGAGTTGGCATGATGGGGGCGGAGGGGGATTGAGCAAAGAGGGCTGGATGCTTAGTGAGGGTCACTGCCGGTGATTGCTTGGCAACCATACATTGCAAACAGCTGAACCTGTGGAGCTTCTTTGCTCGGAGCGAGTGGCAGAATTGAGTTGTCTGGATTTGTCTGGCGCCAGACCCCATCCCACACCCCGTAAAATGTACTCCACACCCCTATAGTGGATGCCCAAGTCACTGCAGCAAAAGAAGAAGAACACCCATCACCTGTGAACCCTGGACCCTGGACCACGATGACGACCTCTGCATGAATCCCTTTTGAGCCAGGCCCAGGCCTTAGGGCTGGCCGCGGCGCCGGCAGGACCCCCTGAAGCACTCAGGCCGGAACACCGACAAAAACTCAGGGCTTCTCTTATTCGTTGGGTTCGGGGGGAGGGTTCGGGGTCTCAATTCAGGGCCCAGAGTTGAGCCATCGCATGTCGACGTCTTTCGACGCTCGCCATCCCCCAATCTCACAAAGGCTCCCAGAAAAGCTTGCAAGCAGTGCTGTTTTTGTGAATGCACTGTGCTACTCGCAGCAGAAGCGAGCCACCGACCATGCGTTAGTCGCAACAAGTATGAACTGTCTCTTGGGTGCCTTTTCCCTGGCTGAACACGCTCGGGCCCATCCTGCATTGGAGGCCGGCGGAGCCATCTCCGGCAGAGGCGGAGGCAGAAGCAGCCGAGGCATGCATTTGGGGAATCGGGACTTGGGACTTGGGGGGGGGGGGGGGGTCTCGTTGCATCACGCCTGTTCTCACCAGAATCATGCGTCAACTTAGCGTCAGCTTTCTCAAGATTTACGGTGTTGGTCGCTGGAATTGTCGGGGTTCTACAACAGAAGCTCCTTTCTGGTGGCTATGAAAGCTGCCGGTCCATCGGTATGTTGGCCAATAGAGCTTCGTAGAACATGGCGAAACTTGACGCTGGAAATGTTGGCATCTGAGATGGCAGCATATGGAGCCGTCAAAATACCCCGGACCCCGGTTGACCCTCTTTGTGGGACCGCAAGAAACTCGTATGCTTGTTCCAAAACGGCCCTTTACATCTGTAGGGAGCCCAAAGAGGGGGACCCTGCTTGACCAGATGCAGGCCCCGCCAGACTCGGCGGAGCTGGACGTTGCAGAGCCAACAGTGCAAGACTCCACGCAGGCTGAAGCTGGCATGACTGCGGCTTAAGCTGTACGTCTTCAAAACTCCTGTGAGGCTCCTGCGAGGCGTTCTCTCCAAAGTGCTGTCAGCTAGTCATAGGTCCGTTTTAATGGAGTTTGCCTTTTTGCTTGGTGGCTTCTGCGATTCTCTGCTTGTGTGTGTGTGTGTTTTTCAGACTTCTCCTTGCTTGTTTGGGACTTCGCCTCACACTCTTTGCAGCATTTTTGGGGCCGTGGGCTCCACTTCTGCGCAGCTGACATCCCGAAAGAACTGGTGTACCATGGCCATGGCAGCAGAAGATTCGTTGTTCAAGGTGCGCTTTCTCTTCCTGATGCCTTTGAACACAGACAGGCGCCTGCACCTCGAGTCCAAGCCACGGCTGGGGCTGTGCAGATACCTGGCCTGGACCATCTGTAGGTTTTACACTCTTTAGAGGGTCGATTCCGACAATAAACCTAGGAAAGAATCGCAGTGCATGGGAAGTACACCAGGACAATCTTTCATGATGCACATGGCATGTGGTATCCAACCGCCTGCAATGATCTGGGCGAAAAAGGCTAGCGGCCAGCTTGATAAAGGGTTTCCCTTCACGTTGCCAAACCCGCATCCGAAGCTGAGGAGTGCCATGGTGATGGGTCAGTCTGACTCCCAGGAAGGGCGCGGATCGGGTTTGGGTGGAGGCTGGTGTGGATGGTATAAGCTGGGATGTTGCAGGTGTTTCATGAATCGGAGAAGAAAATCACAAGCCACAAGCTTCTTCTTTTGGTTCATGGCTTCTTGGTGGTTCTGGTTTGGTTGTGGATGTTGCTGCTGCGGCTGCTGTTATTCTTGCTGTCAGCGTTGCTGTTGTGATGTTGCCGCTGCGCTGTTGCTGCGTTGGTGTTGGTGGTTGGTAGTCATGTCCGTGGTTTGGTTGCATTCCGCCCATCTGAGATCTCTGGGCTTGCCAAACCTTTGCAAGTAAGCTGCAAGCCAAGAATCATTACAGACTGCCAGCCTTGGACCTAGGAAGTCTGCTAGAAGGGCCAGGGGGAGGGTTTAGACTTCAGGGGCCCAGAAGAGCCCCTGCCCCTCGGCCTCTCCCCAAAACTTTTCCACTGCGCCGCGCGTCGTCTCCAAGGTCTGTTCTGCTGCAGAATCGTCTCATGTACCAGCTACTCTGAGAAGTGCGAGTCAAGCTCTGGCTGTGTATCTCAAGCTCTACGGTTCCAGTGATATAATTCCGACTTACTGTAGGCTGGGAAAGGGGGCTGTTCACTTCAGGTACACAGCACGAGGTAGGAGGATCCAGCGAAGGGCCATCCAAAGCGCTGCCAAAACGACAGCCAACCATGACAGAAGAAGTATCACGCTAGTGTGCATCGGCTGATCCCTGAGTACTATACCCTATAGACGCTGGAACTCCCAGCCAGACTGCATGAACTTACCGCAACCTCCGGTAAAGGGCTGCGCCGGGTTTCAGGAGATCAGTTCGCAGAATGCAGATGCAAGGAGAATCGCATGCGATGCTCAGGTCGAAACGACATCTTCTGATTCGCAGCCCTTGATTTCCCTAAACCCTAAACCCTCCTTGGCAGATTCAGCACAAAGCTCCCATGGCTTTTAGCGGACTCCTGCCCGCGGTGCGACCTCTTATGCAAGTTCCTTGTTGGAAAGCCCGATTCCACGTAGCCACGTCATATTGATGGAGGTTGAGCGGCGTTTGTGTAGAGTCATATGGTGAAGTTAAGTTAAACAAACCACTAGCCTCGCCATCTAGATCTGTCTGCTTCCCTTGCACCAAGCTTTTGCTACGGCAAGGTTCTTGAGCACTTAAAGGGCATTCTGCCATTGACATGGTTCGGCAGTTGCGAGCTGTTCCCATCTCTGTTGTGCGACACTAGGGGCTTTAGGGCTGTATCTTAGAACACTCTTAGAACCAGGGCCTCTGCATCTTCATCCATCGAGGTTTGTGTAAACGCAAGCAAAGGCTACATAATTTTCGTTCGCTTATCCACAGGCACTTCATTTACGCAAGAAGCTAGGCTCGATCCAGACCGTGAACCCTTAGTCCCAACGAGCAATGGTACATAGTGATTAAACCTCGATCTAAGACAGTTCGCAAACTTCAAGCAAAGCTTTTTGCGGCAAGCGGCGGCCTCAAACCATGTAAGCACCTGGGGCCTGGAGCATGCAGATGTCGCCCGCAGCGCGATTGCGGAAGCTCTTGGCAGAGGACATGACGTGATTGGATGACTTCACTTCAGGGGTGAGGTTGGTCTGTGGTTCCGACATCCCTTAGCAATTTCGGACTCGCAATCCTCGAGCGCGCTCATGTTATCTGTCGTGATTTTTTGGTGGATGTCAATCAAGCTGAATGCATGAAGGCCCATTCCAGGCATGTCGAGCTTGTGGCTATGTAAGTTTCAACGGGTGACAGACTTTGCGAAATTGAGGCTTTGGCCGTGAGTGGCGGCTAGACTCGTATGCCCCAAAGCATTTTCTTTGCGCCGCATGTTGCCGCATGGACACTTGGAGAGAGCAAAGCTGAGAACTGTTTTTTCCTGGCTTGTCAAGTTGGTCAGCCAGTGGCTTGTGCTGCGCATCCAGCACAGGCGCGTGGCGAGCGCCGGTGCGAGCTAATTCCTGCCTGCCACGATGCGCTTTCGGCAGCGCCTTGTCGGGAATGGCGCTTGTTGAAGAGAACTTCTCAGAGCTCAACACAAGTTTGCAGTGTTGTTTCAGTAAGTCGAGTGCGGGAGCTTGGCAAGACTTAGCACGGGTCCCACCCAGTCTGGTTCCAACGCAAACTTACTCATCCTTCCACGGGGTTGGGGTTGACCAGGCGCAGGATGGGCAACAAACAACACTGCCAGCGTCAACAAATCGAATATCGTGTGAAGAGATAGGAGATCTATAAGGACGGAGGGAAGGAAAGAAGAAAGGCCCCCCGCTCCAAACGCATGCCTCGCCTCAACCTCGGCTCATTCTCTTTGCAGCTGGGCTCTGAAAACACTCGGGTTGCCTCTCCTATTTCGAGGAAACGTCGAGACGTTTGCTCGGTTTCTTCACGAGAGGGTTGCTCGAACTCGACTTCTCCTCCGGACTCGAGAAGTTTTCGCAGGATTTCTTCATCAAAATGCAGAATCACTGAGATGAGTCTCCGTTCAAAGCAACCCCTTCAGACTGACGAGAACAGAACAGACCCAGTCGTACCGGGGCGAAAGGCATACAGAGATGTTACTTCGTCAGGTTTGGGATTTACACCAGCAACGTTTTAGATTAACGCAGAAGTTATATTTTGACGTCGGTGGCATCTTCATGGACGCAACAATGCGACCTGCATGGCAAGATGAACACGGCCTCATCGACATCCCACGCTTGCAAGGCAAAATATGGGGGAGAGGGGCTGGGCAGGGGCTCTGCTACAAGAGAGCAAAAGCCCTGAAGCGCAAAAGCCAAGAAGGTGGATACGGTTTTTGACGGAAAGTACAAGCAGCTGTTGTTTGCAATTCTACATGGCGGCTTCGCATATTTCCCCTTGCGTTGTTTTCGCAACAACCAAGCCACAGTCAGGGCTGGTGGCACTTTGTGCTTGGAAAGCTCTGTAATTATTCCTTTCATGTCGCCCAATGTGGTCTGCAAAACTGGCCTTGGAGGTGCTTATCCAACGCGCTGGATTTCCCATTGCTTTCATGAGCGGCTATGCTGTCAGTGCGACGCAGCTTGCTTGTGCCTGGGCTAGAGCTCCAGCTGGGAACTTCGAGGAGCATCATGCAAGGCTCTCATTGTGTTGTCACGTTATCATGTGTCAGAAGACGTGCAGGTGCCAGAAGGCTTTGCTTGTTGAGTCTCCATTGCCCCCCCATAGTGCCATAGTGCTTCTTGTGTCCTTTAAACAGGCGAATTGGTACTTCCGATCAACAGCTGCCAAACACTGGAAAGGCTAGTCATTAGGCATGCGACCCATTATGGTTTGAGTCTCTCTGGGTGGTGCTACTCCGCGAATCGTTTTGCCCGTCATCGTTCGGTGAAGAAACTTATCGGCGTGTCAGTCGCCTGTCAGCAGGTTGTCCCATGACTCAGGTCCTGATGTGGGTCTTATCTCCTATGCTGAACAGGTCGGGTGCCAAGCAAACCCAGCCTGATGCATCGAGCTGCATGCTAGTGTGCCATGTTCAGCGACTCGTTTTTCCATTCCAGTCAGCTCCCGATCTCAAGTCAGCTAACAAGCGTACGCGGTTACATCAGCAAGAAGCCGATGGCTCCTTCAAGGGAGCATGATGAAACTACCCGTAGGATCGGAGTCATCAACACAGACCAGTACTTACCACGAATGGCCTAGTGGCACTAGAAGGTATACAAACAGGCAAACACTGATGACTCAGCTACGAAGACTGGTAGAGTCGAGTCAGGTGCAGGTTGGCCGCAACATTTGCGCCGCTGTTGGGCCTGAGATGCAACTTGACGAAGAGATGTGGCCTACAGGGCTCTAAGGGCACCTCTCTGACTTTCACGAGCGCTTCCGGAGTTGATGTTGCGTATGCTGTTCACATGCTGTTAACTACATTCTGTGATCGGGTCTCCTCGTGTGCGAAGCAGAGTAGGAGAGGCCATGAGCGGCTCCAATTTCGTAGAAACTCCTGAAGCCTTGGAGAGGTGCGTCATCGGCGATGGCGACACCGGTTTCGGTGGCAGTGGCAATGTTCGCCGAACAGTTCGAGGATATGCGGATGCAGGTGCGCTTGCGTCCTACAGATCAGAAAGGTGGTGCCCGAACCGGTATACGAAGCATCAACAATCCCTCGGTAACGCGCCGCCGTCGGTGGCGTGTTGACGGTGAGGTCGGATGAAGAATATGTAATACTGTAAGACTGCTGGGCGAGGATGCTGTGCGCATCATTCCCCAACCTGGAACATTGACCACAACAGCCTTGCCTCAGCGTGCAGGCTTCGCAGGCATTACAATCGAGGATCAGTGCTATCCAAAGCGGTGCGCCTATGCGAAGGCCGGGGTGTTGGCACAGCGTTAGAATGTAGGCACTGCGTGCTTCGCAAACCATCTTCTTGGACTCATCGCTCGCGGGCATTTGTAACTACATTGCCCTCGAGACGATTCGCAGGAAAAATGCAGCCTTTACACACACACATATACATATACATATACATATATATATATATGTGTATGCTCTGCTTGTCCTCTTCAATGGCTAAAACCAGCGCGTCGATCGTGCCGTCTGCACAAACCAGTTCGCGGATCAAAGAGACACAATTACATATTTCATGGTAGCCGGGCGTTTCAATGTTCGGCTGCTTGCTGTGCCTTCCCAGAGACAGGTCACGTCAGTGCAACTTGGACACGGTCTGAGATCTCTAGAAATCCCCTGCAGAACCTGCATCCGCACTGCCCACCAAAAGCTTATAAGACTCTTCAAGACACACGCATCTGTACATCATGAAGCTTGGGTTTGCAATCACAGCTTCAGCCGCGAAGCCCACATCCTCAAGTAGCGTATGCAAGGGCCTGGCGGTGGTTGAGCGCGAGGAGGCACGGACCGAACTAGTTACAGCCGCAAAGTTTGACAGATCTCATGATGTCCCCTCAGCGAATAGGGTGTACACAGTGGAGCAAGTTTCACTCCTACGCAGTCAGATGCCCGAACCCGAAGCTCTGTCATAATGCTCAACCACCTGTGGAATTGCGGAAGTTCAGGGCACTAAGGCCACAGCTGGGCCTCTATGCTTACTCTTGGTGCCCCAGCCAGCCAAGTCCTAGTTCCCCACTCCAAGAGTTGCTCATGATACGGCTCTTTGTAGCCCTGAGAGCTTCAATTGAAGCCCTCCAAGTCATGATGAGGCGTGTGCACGCCTCGCGGCGGCACTAGCTGCAAGGGACGAGCTGCGGACGGAAGGCCGGGCAGGACTCTACGGACTTGTATGGGGTGGCTTAGAGCTATCTCGAGGGCTGAAGCAAGTAATTGGACTCGTAGAGCGTGCTTAGGGCTCGAGGAGAACGTGCAGCTGGTAGAGGAGAGTTTCGGGGTGCGCTGGCATACAAATTAATATGAATCCGCAACCCCGACCCTGATGAAGACTTCACATGAAGGCGGCCGATACTGTGGTTTTCTGGTGCCAGCGAATCTCCGTTAATCTGGGGAGGTTGTTTTCAAGGTTTGGAGCAGTCGTTGTTGGGCGGGGGCCGGAGGGGGCGATGGCACGTGTCGCCTGTACCGCGGAATTCGGCGACAAGCTTTGAAACATGGGTGCTTGTTCCAGCAAGTTGCCATTAGGCCCATCCATAGGCCTTGAATGCTCACAGCTTGGAACCTCCAGGTCTCGAAGGCAGGCTGTGGGACTGAAGGATTGCGAGGATTAAGTGGCATCAAGCCTAGATTCTTCACACAATCGCCAACAAGTCGTCCTCTGACAGCAGCCAACCCCTTGACCGTCTCCCTTTCATGCCCAGGCAAGGACCTGGTGATCATTGGGAGGCCTTTTGGCCGAATTGGCTTGGGTGGAGTCGGCTCAAAGCATTGATTTAACGGAGTTCACGGTGGGGTTGATTTAAGATCATCGGTTTTGTCTGGGGATCTGACGAAAAGCCCAACAGCTGGCCAGTTGCTGGCTTCGGGCTGTAGATTTCCAGGCATGAACACCCACCCCCCCCCAACGTCAGAGAGGCTTTCTGGCCTAAGGCTCCAGAAAGCCCATGCCCCAAATTGTGCCTGTGCATGCAGGCAGCACAGGTAGTATCCAAGTGAGAATGTGTTTCGAGGACAGATTGCCGCCATGCTGCCTCAAACGGCGGCTTCGAGGAGGCCCTGACAAGGCAGCCGCAGCAAGCTGAAGGTGTGCCGCTTATGGGGCAAGGCCCGGTAAGGCCTGACAAAGATGTTAGTTGCCGTGGCTTCCAAAAGAAGCTCGCATTGAATCTCGGATATGCACGACAGGAATGGGTCTTCTGCACATAGGCTTGTAGGGCAACAACTCAAATTTTCTTCAGGTGCCGAGCATTCGCAGAACTCGGAGCAGATGTAGCGTCTCAGCTCAGAATCATGTGGAGTTGCGGAGTGCCTTTGCTTGTCGCTATCGCAACGCCACAGTGGAATATGCACCGCGTGTGTGTGTGTGTGTGTGTGTGTGTGTGCAAAGGATGTCGTAGTCTGTTGTCTTGGTAACGTGGCGCGCGTGCCTTGGCTATCGTACACGCTTCTGGTGTGGCAGAGCGGCATGATGGGGTAGTTCACCGCCTGAACGAATACTCGAGGGCCAAAATTGGGTGTGAAGCACCCACGTGCTAAGCGTTGCACAAACTGCTCACTGCAACGATTAGCAGCTGTTTTGTGCCTGGTCTACTTGATGTTTTTCGTTATCTTTAGGGCCTTTGCTTCCAGGTTTACGCTGAAGGCTTGAGCGACAAAGCCGAGATGATGCGGTTGACCTCTGACATCCAGGTGCCAACCATGCTGGCACAGGTGCCGGGAGTGCAACGGGGGAGTTGAGGATGGGCAAATGAGATGGTGATGGAAAACGGGGTACGTAGCACGACAACAAAACACACCATACTTGCTAGAAGATCAAGTGATACGCCCCACAGCCCATTGCACAGACCAAGATACCAACAGACACAACCGCCATTTGCATTTTTGGCATGTGGGGAGCGCCTTGCACGCTTAGCGGTGGGTGTTAGTTGGTGGGCAGCCTTGAGGTGGAGAAGCCGGATGTTCATCTCATCGATGCATCTTGAGCAGCAAGGGGTTTACAAGGTTCCACCCTCTTTTTTTTTGGGGGGGGGGGGGGGAGGGAGGGATCTCTTGCAAGCTGTCCGGCTTAAAGAGGATCCTGCGAACGAACAAGGGTGGGAAAGCAAGTCCACATGTAGCTCTCTATTAGGACAAGTACAGGCGTTCGAACCTTGTATTCCTCGAATCCCTGGACCCTATACAGGCGGAGGAGGCAGGGCGGCTGGGCTTCACCATGAGCTTGCTGGGCCTGGCGGTGCTCAACGTGGCAATGTGCGCTCTGGGGCTGCATCACGATATATCACGATTGAGTAGAAATCCCCAGGAACTCGCCATTCAATCCCGAAACCCAAGCTGGTTCAGAAGTGCAGACCCTGATACCACATAAAACGGCTCTTAGCCGAGGCCATGAAGCGTGGCCTCGGGGAGATGAAGCAGGGCAAGCACCCAGAGGTGCATCTCCGCTGGGGCTGGAGGGGTTGTCGTTGCAAAAGCAGTGGGTTGTCCGGGGCTTCTTGACGGGCGACAATCTCGCCGCTGAAGCCTCAAAGTAAGCGCTGATTTTGTTTCTGTTATTCTCGTGACCCTTGGCTGCCCCCACGGCGAGAGCAGCAAGTATTTGGCTCAGTTCGAAAAGGCCGAATATGGCTGAGCTAAGCTGGAGCTGAAGACGTGTGAAGAGCAGCTCCATACTGCGAACGCCGTTCACGCGCAGCGTGAGAGCAGAGTGCAGCGCTTCGAGGTGCAAAGCCGGCTGTCCTTCTCAGAGCTCTACCGCGAGGCGTCCAGAGGGTCGTAGCCCGAAAAAGCCCCAGGATTGGGAGGATCTTGGGGGTAGCTGTCGGGATCTTTCGGAACTTCAAGCCGGATCTTTCGGAACTTCAAGCCCCAGACCTGAAGCCAGAGACACACACAGAGGTTAAACTGAATCGAGGCAAGATCGACGCAGTTGGGCTGGGCCCTGAAGCAGACCTCTGCTGTAGAACTCGACTTGCTATTGCCTGCTGGGGGTCACATCTGCGACTGGGCTACCATGTTCCACTGCTTTGCCCTCAGCTCACGAACATCAGGTGGGCTTTGAGGAGCACTACGCATGGGAAGAGAAGTAGCTCAGATTCAGATGATCCTCATCAAAGTTTCTGCTTTGTGGTCTAAGTCTGCCACCACCATGGGGCAAGATGCGCAAAAGCATTCACATGTAAGCACCGAGACTGTCTGCGACCCTCAAGATGGCATGTCACTGTTGAGTTCGACGCACTTTCCAGAAGATGGAACAAACACACACACACACACACACACACACACACACACACAAACACACAATATTAAAGCACAACGCAAAACACAGAACATGGAGAGCATGCCATCTCCACCAAGGTTTGAAGGAAGACGTGACTGGCCACATCCGAAGGCGAAACTCTGACGTGAGCGGCAAAGACCGCCCAGCACCCATGACGACGTCCGCCAACCACATAGTCCTTCTGAAAAAAATCCATGACTCCATGACATGTTCTTACAAACACCGTATTGGGTCTTGTTTTTCGGGCTGCGCGCCTCGCGGAACGCAGCATCCTGCACTCATCAACGCCCCTTGCGTCTTCATCCTCATCCTCGTCATACAATGCTCCTCATAGTCATTCGCCAGTCATCACGACTCACCAGATGCTCTCACTCACTCGCAAATGCATGCCGTAGCAATGCAATGCACAACACGTCATACCAATGTGTTTCATAAAGATCGTGTTTTGTGCCGGTTCGCGTTGGAGGCCGACACTTTCGGCTTCTGGGCGTCGCTTATTTCAAAATTTTGCGGGGAGCGATGCCGAAGGACGTTCCTTCCGGCCCCAGGCTTCGCGCTGGCGTCACTCACGAGTTCTGCATGATGCATGGCAGACCAGAGGTTGCGTTGTCTTGTTTGCGCTGATTGGAGGGTTCCTGAAATTTGAAGGCGGAAAGTGCTGCTGCTTCTCCGCGGACACCATGCAAAGACACATGTTCTTTCTGCTTATACACTGTGCACCCGAAAGCCGCTTACTTTTCTGGCCAGTTTATCTTGAGCCGCGATGGTGGGGGAACTGCCCTTGAGCTTCGATATTTCCGATATGGGAGGATGTGGCACGTGTCCAGGCCTTGTTTCCATGTGTTCAGGGTTCTAAGACATGACATGATCGAGTGAAGTCCCGGATCTTATGGCTTGGTGCAGAAGCAGAAGGAATGGTATATAGCAAGGTTGACACAGTGTCAGTGGCACTTTCTCCAACTCTTGCGACAAGCCAGTCTTGTCACAGCAGTGCCACACATTGGACCGTGCATCCGGCTGGTGGAGATATCGTGCGGTGCTACAGGAATCGTCAAACTGTCAAACTTTAAGCGTGCAGACACAGGACGCGTACGCTTACTTAGTAACTGGAAAAAATGGCCGCAGCAGCCATGCTGGCGCGGGCGCGGGTGCGCCGAAAAGAATGCCGTCCGGCAAAGAGGCCGGGGCCTTTGTCACAGACCTGATGTGCGGTTGCCTCATGTTGAATACATGCCGTGCCCCTGTGCATGCGCGACTGCGTAGTGTTATGAGCCTAATCAGCCATGAAATCATGGACCTCTGCCCCTGTCGCGAGACCATTGTGCGTTTTCAAGACTCTTTTTTGCCAGACGGGCTGCACCGGGAGCTCGCAAGCCCCGCAAGCAGCAGGCAGGCCGTGCTGCCAACAGGCTCCGTCTTTGCCGAACCGCTGTCCAACCCTTCTTAAGACGTAATTCTACGGCCCTCACATTCACATCCCTCACTGTCCCTAAGAAAGCTTGAATCCCTTAATCTGAGGCTCCAAAGCCCTAGCATTCTTTGCCGAATACATTCGACACCCCTGAGGGCCAGGGTAAAACAACCGATGACAACGCAACTGAAGCTTGTCGCAGGGTCCCGGCCCGGAAGCTGCCGAAGCGCCGGGAGGAACCCGAGGAGAGCGACGAGGAGCCGCTCCCTGAGTGTTATGTGATGCTATGTGAAAAAGCGAAATATAGCGAATTACAAGCTATTCATCGTCTAAAGATTTCAAGTCCCGAACAAAAACCCCAAAACTTGAGCACGGTTTAGGCTGTAAGCATGGTTTGAGCTTTTGGTGTGCGTCTGCGTTAGCGTCGTCAATTGCCAGCAGCCCGCGGTTAGTTTCTCGCAAGAAGTCCACATAGTTTCGCGTCTCACTGCAAGTTTCCTAGCAAGAAGGAACCACAACAACCTTCAGATGTGCCAGCATTTCGTAGAGGGGTTTGAGCCCCGATTTTTCGCCGAGATTCGGGATCTAAGATCTGCTCGAAGCCCCCAATATTGCCAAGGTCAACCGACGACGAGGACAGCGACGATGACGAGCTGGAGACACCTGGACAAATACGAAGAGAACAATAGCCAGATACAGGCGAACAAATGAAAGCCAAGCCGGAGAACGCACACACAAAACAAAGTCGCGGTAAGTCCAGAGGCTTGGCAGGTCACGAGAACTCGAGAGTTTCAGCGCGTCCCCCGCTCGTGGCACGTGGGGTGCACCTTTTGGGGCCTCGCTTTTGGGCTCAATCCGAAGCCAGCATCGGCCTTGAAAGCTCCCCACAACTGGGTGGCAGTACGGGCGCAGTATCATGCGCAGTATGCTGCAGAGGTGGCCTCCCTGAGGGCCATGGGCCATGGGTCCCAGACAAGGAGGTCAATGTTCGGCTTCAGGATCCCAAGCTTGTCGGATTGCATTCCGCTTGAAGTCCTGCATCATCAGCCCTGACTCCTCCTGAATCCCAGCAACCCCGCACTGCTTAGTGCAGAGCTTAGGAAGTGGGAGGAGCGGCTGATGAAGCTCGAGGGGGCAACGGCCAAGGAGGGGCCGATGGCTGAAATCGGTGCTTAAGGAAATCGGAGATGAAAGGGTCAAACAAGATCTGTCTTGAGAAGAAGAGAACAAAGTGGGCTCTGCTTATAGGCATTGATGGGCATCGTTGTTGGGTGGTGTTCAAACTGAAGACATTGACGCCTCTTTGTTTTTTACTGTTTTCTTCGGGGGCCTTGTGGAGAGGTGCCTTCTGAAAGCCCTCAGACACTACGTGAGGAGCTCGACCCGAAGGCCAAGCAAGCACCCCACTTGGTGACCAAGGCCCCTGGGCACAAAGAGAGACTCCATCTCTTCGCATGCGTTCCAAAACTGTTCCAAACAAGGGGTCTTTTCTTCTTCTGGAGGGGGGGGGGGAGAGTAAGGAAGGTGGGAGTAAAGGAGAGGAAGGTGCCACAGACCCTTGAGGAGCGTAACGTTCAATGGTAGTACTAAGTGGCGAAGCTAGATATCAAAGCGACTCTCGGCAGCACCTAATTGGGAAATTCGATGGGGCATTTGTCACCGCCGGATTCCAAGGCTCGACCAGTTCCGTACCAGCTGGTCATCCCCACCTATCAGCGCTGGATGCCGGTCTGCCAGATGAGCAAAAAGAAGAGGCGGGCCCTCTCCCGGACTAGCAGTGCTAGCAATAGCGAACAGTGAACACCAGCTATTTCCCATCGTGCCGAGTCGGAAGGCATCGCCCCATAAAGTAGTTGCAACATGCCTTGCTTCAACAGACTCAGCCGAACCTGGCCAACTCCAATCGGAAACATCTCTCAACAACAGCCGCCCTGTCTCTGAGGGCATTTCGGAAAGCATCCCAATATCCCAATAGCAACGTTGCGAGTACCTCTGCCACTCAGGTTCAAAGGATGCAAGTCTGCCTTCATTCTGGTGCACACGCTGGCGATGTTGTCCAGACAGCGGATTCCCAAGCATCGTGTCACGTTGTTTGTGGCCAATGAGACAGAAAGGACCGTCACCATCGCGAAACATATGTTCTGACATCGTCTGACCCTAGTGTATCTTGCTGTTACTCCGACGAGATGCCAAATGCCTGAGCAGGAAACATTACCGGAATGCGCTGTCTGGCAGCGAGTGGGAGAACGTGCGAATAGAGCTGTCTGTCAAGGGAAACAAGGACTGGTTACCACCTTTGTAGACGACTCCAACAGCAAGGGATGCTGTTTTGCGATGCACTGGTGTTGTCTCCGACACTGCTCATGGAACTAAGTAGGTAGTGACATGTTCTCCAGGACATTCGTCTGGGAATTTTGCCAGGAGTCGCGTAACTTCATCATGAAGTTCTTTCCACCCGGCACATACGTCGTTAGCGCCTTCGCAGCACAAACACATCCTGTATGCCATTCTGGCAGAACCTGTGCCGATCCCTGAGCCATGCCCTGAGGCATAGATGACGACGTCGAGCGGATCAGCTGGAAAATTCGGGAGGGTGGCTTAGCTGCCTTTGTTCTCAGGCCACAAGGTCACAAGGAAGGCAACCCATCCTTTGACCATCTTGAAGTATCCGCAGGAAATGCTTAGTTCCTGGCTGCAATGGCACACACATCCTCTAAGCCTAGGCATGACAGCCCACGTGCTGCGGACGCTCCCGCCTGGCAGTCCTTTGGCCCGTCTTGCGGTCCAGCGTATCCAGTGCGCGCAGAGTTCAGTCGGCGGTTGTGTCAAGCCTAGGCGATAGCCATAAGGCCATTAAGGCTTGAGCAAGTATCTTTTAGGCCTTGTTGGGCCTCAAAGCGCTGGTCCTTACGTTCAGAGATGTCAAGCTTGGAGTGTCAAATGCTGCGGTTTGAGCCAACAGTAGTCCTCCGTAGATTGTCCCACAGAAGGCTTGGAGAAGATCATCTTTGATGCGTACCGGCAGATGAAGGCACACAAGGCCATTGCTGGGTTCTTCTGAAATTGACAGTCATGGTGGCTGAAGAATACTTGGAATCTTCTGTCCACTGTGGGCAGGCATATCTTTGGGGAGTGTGTACCTCGCAGAACGCCCGGCACATGAAGGCCGGACCGAGATGGCAACAGTCAAGATCGGGATAGTTTCGGCTCGAATCAGAAACTACAGCAGGGGGCTCGAGGTCATAGAATTCCAGTTGTCTGCATGATGAGTGAGCGGAGCTACCAACATGCAGTTTCAGTTACTCACGGTTCCACCTTGGCAGGTCAGTGGCTTGTCGAAGTCGAATGGCCTTGTCAACGGGTATCTCAACGGATACATCAGTCGGCCGAATTGCACCTCGGCAGAGCGCGAGACAATTCCGAGACTCCGGGCCAAGAAGCAACATGGCGTAGCTCACATCCCCCACTCTGCCTTAAAACTTTTGGCTGCAGGCAAGGCGCTCTTCCGCACCCTTGCAGATGCCACCGAAGACTCAGAGTTTGCCGTGCGGCATTATGCGAAGGCCCGAGGGACCAATTCAATGCTTGCAACCGGGAATGTCGTGATTGGACTTCGGTCCGCTTAGTCTCACATGTTAAGGGCTGGCAAATGCAAATGCAGAGGCCTTTCTGTTGCAGATGGCCCAAATCGGGCCTTCCAGAAGCCAGTTCTCGGGGTTTTTGCTCCCTGTTCCTGTCAGCCGGGCAGGATGGTGTGGTGCTTCGGTACCGTGCCCCTGCTGCAGAATTGGGCAGGAAGAAGAGGGTAGCCGGAACTTGCCAGAATGTACTCGCAGATGACATTCGCTGTGGCGGCCCGAGTTGTGAGAGGGGGAGCGGGCAACTAAGCGGTGGAGGAATTGATTTCACAGAACCAGTTCCTGAACTGCAGAGTTGCCCCATTGACCACATCATCAAAATGCTTTGGTTGTAAAGAGGCACAGACAAGAGATCGGGGTGTCAGCGTGGGAGAGCCCTACCGCCTACCCCCCCCCCGCCCCCCCCCCACCCCACCCTTGTCCCTCCTCGCCGCCCCGACTACTAGCCCTACCCCCTTCTCCAACGCTCCTTGGACCTTTTTAGGGAATGGTACAGTTACGGAGCTCCCACCACCCCTACCCTCTGACCTCCTACCCCCAAATTACCCTACCTCCTAACCTCCTTACTCCCCTTCTACTTGTACCTCCAAAGAAGAGAGGATGATGAAACATTTAGAAACTTAAAGGTATGTGCGCTTCCTTCTTCTCAGGTATGTATGCTGGCATCACGAGTCCCTACCTTAATCGAGGCCTGCGTTGTGGGAGCAGGAAACGTCCTTGCAGTCAGAGAGGGATCTCTACAGAAGTTTGAGTTGAGACTGTGTACGGCTCGGACTTCAACGGCCTTCAGGCATTTTAGGCAGATACGGTTTAAATGAGACATGTGCCTTCCTGGATGCATGAGTCTGAGAGCAACACAAGATGCGCAGAGAGGGGGTTTGGCATGCGGCTTCTCCAGGTTCATGTCCAGTCCTCGATGTGGAAAAGTTGCTTTGCAGGTGGACTCCAGAAGAAGTTCGAAGCAAGCGGGGAATCTTGGAGAACCTTGAGAAACTTCTAGCTGACTTCCGGGAATCCTTCAGCTGGAGCTATCTCAGAGGCTTGAAACATCTGAGGGTTTGCCGGGTTTGCCTTTAGGACTTCATGCTAGGATTGAGAAGAACATCTGAGGGTGGACCGTGCAACCTGCAAGCTGAAGGCTCCTAAACAACAGGTGGGTTTCATCAACAGGGCTTTGTGCATTGCCTTTTTTGGCATACTTTGGCAGAGGAGCGCATCACAGCCGAGCAGCGAAGTGAAGCGAGAAAGAAGGCCAAGCCACGCCCAGCCATGTTAGGGCCTAAATAGATTGAGTGATGACTTGTGATGTCATCATGATGTTTATAGTGTTTGCAGTCCATCGTCCAACATGCCACTTGCTCATGACTCCAGACACTCCGTGGCTATGCCGTGCAACGGGCATAAAGTTTCATTATGTTTGTCTTGTTAGGTTTCGAAATGCCCGGGGCGAAGGGTATGAGCCGCACAACTGCCCCTGCGATAGGAGGAACGCTGGGGCGCGATGGAGCTTCACAAGTGCCTTTGTAGCAAAGCATGTGGAGGTTGACGGACATCAGGCCTGATGCTCCTGAGCCCGAAACCATCTAGCCAAGTTCACAAGCAGAGCGCATCTGTCCTTTTAAGCTCTCCGTTGTCCGTGTTCAAGATCTCGTCGTGTTTGGCATTTTGTGTGGCAATTCGCAGATCAAAAGCTCATTTCTCATCATCTTACCACCATCCCCAAAGATCTTGCAGAGACCTGAAAAGGATGTTCCCGCAGCTCGTGGGGCCTCCCAAGAAGCGTCGGGACAAGAAGACCATGGAGGCTGCCAGAGTCCAGAGGGGTCAGGGATGTTTTTTAATATCTCAAGAGGGCTCAGGGTTTTTCAGGTTCAGCCTGGCTGGGCTCCAAAACAGCTCTTTTTTGCGATGACTGGGCAAGTAGTGAGGCTGTGGAACCGAAGGTAAATTCGAAGGCAGTCTCTGTTCTCCGCTCGACAGCAGTGTCTACCTTAGGGCGCTAGGGCACGAACCCTGCAGGTGAACTTCTACAGCATGGGCTACCCTCCAGGCGAGTTCGGACTTTTGTGGCTTGAAGAGGTATTTAGTCGGGACGGTTCGGGGGCTATGGCTACGCTGTTTTGAGAGCCCGGACAGGAACTTAGGGATAAACAAGGGGTTGCGCGCCATGCGGGCCAGAGATTCGACTCTTCAGGGAGGTTCTTGTCCCTGTGTCCCTGTGTCGAGACACCACGGAGGTGAGGGCGGCAACAGGAAGCGCATTGCCCCCCGGTTCTTGGATGCGGATCAGATCCGCTACAGGCCTGAGCACCCTGTCTCAGCAGAATCAGAGCAGAGATGTCCTGAAACAGCTACATGTGCCGTGCTTAAGGAGGATTGTCCATATACCTGTTTTCGTTATGAGGGAACCTGTACATAAACATCGTTCGATGGTCAGTTTGATTGATAGGAGTGCCCCAACGTGTTGTTTCCCTAAAGGCGCTCTGCAGTGACTTTGGGCCGATGCTGAAACTATTCGCAAATTCTCGGTCGCCATACGAAACCATGTCTGCCCGAGCTCTCGCCCTTCTCGGTTGGCGCTTCTCTCATGTGTCGTGCCGAGGAACCCGAAACTCTGGGGATGCCATGCCTACAAACTCTACGAGGGCTACAAGAGGTCAAGGACGGCCTCACACTGGAAACCATTTGTGATGTAACCATGGCACGCGCGTCGAAAGATGCAGCATCATGTAGGAGACCTCAAGCTTCTGCAACTTCAGCATCAGTTTTCATTAGGAGATGGGCAACATGTAGGGCGTCCCAGATTAGATGCTTAGATTAAGCCGCTCTTTTAGGGGAACGACCCCCTCCAAGCTCTGTATAAGAGAGCGAAAAAGAGAAAAATCATCGCATCCTTGTCTGGCAGGACTTTGCGGGAGGCTGTGAAACTCGGGGCTCGCCCTATCGACTTGGCGCATGACTACAACTGGGGCTTTCTTAAAGCCGGGGCCTTGGAAACAGGGCCAATCTTGCATGTTTTGATCTTGGCTTTTTGGGGTGGCTTTGCAGATGTTTGGGGTTTACGGCTGATGTTCAGGTTCTGAAGGGTTGGGATAGCCTGCCGCGTCTGAAGCCCGCAAGTGGCGTCAGTTAGCACATGTGGGCTGCTGTCCTGTACTGGACCTGGCGCCCTCAAGCCTGTGGGATACTGTAGGGTGTTTCTCGCCCTTGACTTGAGACTCATTGAGAGTAGAAGTACTTCCTTACAAAAAGGGACGCCCGATGGCCAAGGTCCGCCGCTTGTCCCTGGACTTCCCCTGGGAAGTGGAGATCGAGGATTGGTCTTCGAATGAAAACCTTGTTTTCCTGAGCTAGACCTAGGCATACTTTGTTGTATCTGAGCATGCACTCTCTGCAATGATGTGCTCGGACTTCTGCGGATGAGGCGGTGGACCTTATCTCCACACCTCAACATCAACCTCAGAACCAATCAACTTCCTTACTTGCCCAAAAGTGACGACAGTTCTGCACTTGACGACCTGCATGCGCACGAGCGGTCGGCGCAGGATGTCGAACGCTGCTCGCACAAATCTCCGCAAGACGACACAAAAATCACCGACAAAACACGCGCGCCCGCCCCCGCGCGCGCACGCGCGCGCGCGCGCCCACACACACACACACACACACAAACAGATCAGTCCAAGAGCCCGGGACCCAGCGATTGAAGGGCGAAGAAAGTGGAACGTGCGCTGGACCGAGGCAGGCACGGAGATTTCGACCCCACGGACTGACGTAGGATGCAAGAACCACCCACGTTGGAAAACAAACCCCTATAAACCCCGCACCTGGATCCTTCCATACACTCCAGGCTGTACAGCCTAAAGCCCTTGACACAGGAGCAGCCGCCTCCGGCGCAGCGGGTGGCCTTCAAGTGGGCCCAGAAGTCCCGGAACAAGGCGCCTGTTCATTGCCTGTGTGCCGCGCTAGAAGTTTTGGTGACGGTTCTGAGTTCAACTTAACTCCCAACTCCGGGAGTCGCAGTGGTGGCAGGGCTGCCGACGTCGGTTTTGGTTGCGGTTTTGTTGGTTTTTGTTGAGGCTGTTGGCCAGTCGCTCTGAGTGACTGGTGCCACGAGTGTATACATGTGTGCCATGGTGCCACATCAGCTCTGGCGTTTGTCACCCGCTTGGGCCAACCGAGAGTTGCTGAGAATACATGGAACATGGGGGGGTTCCGCCGTGACGAGAGGAGGGTGTGGCTAAAGTTAGCACAACGTAGAATGATGTGGACTCTTTTCTGGTGAAAACTCCCAACAAAGTCTTGAGTTCCTAGGTCCAAAAACCCGAAACTTATTTAAACCCGAACCTGTGCAGCAGGAAGAGTGGTCCAAGGGTGTCGAAGAAGGCATCCTGCGAGTACGCATCAAGGCGGCTCGATACCGCAATAAAGGCTACCCCAAGGGGCTGGCGCATTCAGATCCTCTTTGGCCACACTTGCTCCCATATTGAAGTCAGTGATTCGTTTGGGTTTTACCCGGAGTGAGATAGAGAGAACGGCTCATGGCCTGCTTTGTTCGTTGGGTTTTTTGAGGACTCTCGAGCGGCTTTTTTTGGCATTTCGGATTTTGTGGTTGAGCCCTGCCCCCGAAGTTCAGGGCTCGCCACCCTGGTCTAGGCAGGGCAGCCGATATGAATCCTGCTTGCTACTGTACCCCGCCCATGAATCTTCGAGTAGCCTGGAGACTGGCCGAGCCAGAAGATCTGGTCAGAACTGCACATTGAACTCAAACTTCGAATCTGCCTCCTCAGCGGCATGAATCCTCGGCTTCAGGCACATGTCGTAGCCAGCTCTTCGCCAAGCATAACCCACCCAAAAGAAATGTTAGTATGCACTTCTTGTGCCAGGGTTTGCCCATACATTCGGTAGAATAGATTCGGGGGGTTGAGCCCCCGTCAAGGATTAATGATATCAGGATGTGCAGAACTGGACATGTCTTTATAGATGGGCAGTGCTGCTAAGGACATGAGTTTGGGCCATCAAGGCCTCACTTTGCCAAAGGCCGAAGCCGTGTGAGCGGGGTCTCAAACCTGATAGCCCACGCCTCAATACTTGAGGCATCAACAGTGCAGCACGCTGTATGGCAGAGCCATGTTCGCGCGTGCAGATGTTTTGACATCATTCTCTGATGTTCTTCGAACCACATGCAATGCGGTCTGCCGCAAGCCCCCTTGGCCCTTGGAGCCCTTGCAGGAGACCCTGGTTCCATTGGCGCAGCGAGCACCACAACGCTTCCGGAAGCTGTGTTGCCTTGTGAGTCCTGTTGTCACTTGTATGTGGCTGAAGTGGAATGAAACTGGCTCTTTAGGTGGGTGGGGGGTTGCTGTAAAGTTCCGTTCAATGTAACGGGATGGGCAATGGGATAAGAGGCCCTTCGTGGGGGGAATCTCTATGAAAGGAGAACCTACCTTATGTCATTTTGGGGACTGGTATGTTTGGTTGTCTCCGTGTTGGGGGAATCACGACGCAAACGTGCAGGTGTCTACTGCTCAGGCAGGACCATGCCTCACTCCTGTCTGTAAAGCTGTTCAAAAATTCCACACACCTCCACACAGAGCTGCCTTCACGAGTCTGGAGTCTAAGGAAGCTTGAACTGAAGGATTTGGCGAAGGAGGAGCCCTTGGGGTGCCCTAATCAAGACCAGAAGCTGCGCTTTCGAAGAGCTCCGCACGGTTGTGCTTGGCACTGTGTCTTCGGAACTAGAAAGCCAAGATCTGGTTTTGTGCATATGGGGCACTGATTTTGTTTCGTCCCATCACAAAGGCGCAGACATGGGCCTACAGTGGACATGTAGTATAGAACCGAGGCGTTTGCCATTTGAGATCAACAGCATTGGGGTTTGGACTTTTAGACGGCGCTGAACTGCAGGGATGCACAAGAGTCACAAGAGGCTTGTGTTGCTCTCGCAGGCCTAGGTTTTCAGACGTGACAAGCTTGGAACGCAGTGCCGGCTGGAGAGAGCTTAGCTTTTCTGGGTCATTTCTGATTCTCATCGTCCAAACCTGCCGGGCACGCTACAGTCAAGATAGTTTTCATGGACCATCGATTTCCCACACAGCTTGGAAGCAGCATCGGATTCAAGCTTGCGCAGTCAGCTACAATCAGAGTTAGACAGTGATGTTTCCCTGGACGAGCGAGGACGGTCCGCTGAGCTCAGTTCCGATGTCGCTTGGTTTCGAAAGGTCCAGCTATTGTTTTGGCAGTCCGTTGCGCCACTGACTTGCGGATCTCTCGATGTTTGACTAGACTGCTTTTGTCTGCTTTCTATGTTGGCGACAAGCCTTCGTGAGGGTGGTCTTGCGATCTTTGCTTCGCTGGATGTCTACTGGCAGCCTCCGGTATATGCGCAAGAACACCAAGGCCGACCAAGTGCCGAGAAAGCGTTGGCTTGTAGAGCTGAAGCTCTGTGTGGGGCGGGGGGAGGGGGTGGCGGGGGGGGGGGGGGTTTGTCATACGCAAAGTCTGGTTGATGGTCAGAGAAGCCGAGTTCCAGTCCTGCGCTGAGTAGGGGAACCCGCAGCTCGTTTGATGACCACTCTTCCAGGCGACGCATGCCGCCCTGAAGGCGCCGTTATTCTTGAAGAGCAGTCATTTCTTTACTGGAGATTGCAGGGCTTCGCCGCAGGCAGAACTGGATTGTTTGTCTTTGAGCAACTGCATGCTGAAGAAGTAGACCTTGGTGTAGCCACTGTCGTTCGTCAGACAGCCTCTGGCTCAAGCGTGCTTGGAATCCCGCAGGTGCTGGGCTTCACCCAGATGGCCAAGAAGGTGAAGCGGCGCGAGGCATGAGCCAGAGGGCTCGCCATGCCAGCTGAGACGTGAAGGATGCGGATGATTGATGAGCCCCATGTTCGTCACTCATGCTGTGGGAGTTGTGACTTGCAGCATCACCTGAGCGTTCAACACCAAGCAACAAAACTTACGAACATTCTGCTGGCAGGCCGCAGACATGAAGCTGGCCGAGGAAACACTACATAAGGCTCTGGGGGTGTATGGAAAGTTTCGGCTTGGTTTTGTCATAGACCTGAAATGGAAGCTTTGCCCTTTGTGTCGCAAGACCATTCCCGGCAGCCCGAGTCTTGCCTCGAGTCCTTGTCCTGAGACTTCCGTCTTCCCTGGTTTTTCACATAGAGAGGATGCACCTGCGGCTCGCAGTCTGGGCCGCATGGCACGCGTGGCGCCTCGGTGCAAACTATGGCAGGATATGACAGGCTTACACCGGTTCTTCCTTGGGACCTGGGCTTCAAGCGATTGGTTGAAGTCCACGCTCCTTTTCCGTTGCTTTCAAAATAGTTTGTCAGTTGTAGGACCAGTCCTCCAAAGAGCGGCAACAAGTCACCGCCGCAATCAGAGGGTGCCAGTCACACAACTTCGTGCTGCTCATAGCATGTGTCATGTATGCGTGCTGGCTTTAGCGGCTTCAGGTCTTGGGTATTGAGAGTTGAAGGCCTTGCCACTTTGAACTCCTGTTGGCCTTAGTGCAGTGCGACAGGTAGCATTGTCAGACGTCGTTTTGCTTCAGTGTTCTGGGACCGTTTCCCACTTGGCGCGAGATTTACAGGTTTGGGTCATGCCGTTGGGTCTTTGGCACACCCAACCAAAGCACTGCAGGCATGTGCTCGAAGTTGTGGGAAAGTTGGCTGCGGAACTGCCAGGCAGCCAAGAAGTGGAGGAAGCAGAAGCAGACTTCTCCAAAGCGGAAGGTGCAAAAGAGGAGTGCCGGTTGTTGGGGGCTTGTGCAGGGCAGGATCTTCGGCTTGCTATCGATGTGAAGCGCGGCGCGACATGTATGGTCACATGCCTCCATGCCACACAAGGCTTGAAATCACATGCGAAGCGCTGTCGTCATCCGTTTTCTTCCCTTCCTTGCTAGAGAAGGGCAGCTGTAAGCGAGAAAATGACAGCCAGCGTGATGGATCGTACACTGATCAGACTACCAAGTGCTGCAGCAGGATCATGAAGAAGAAGGTGGCTGGCACCCCGCGATCACGATCGCGCAAGTGGGGATGAGCGTAGATGGCATCCCATCGCTCGTCCCGGTGTAGAAAACCCTGACTGTGTTGCACAGACCAGCCAAAGTCTGCTTCAGCTGATCCCCCACATTGCCGTAGGCCATGCCCTAGTGGCCCCGAGTGCAAACCGCGAACCTGAAAGCTTACATGTTACATGACTCCATCCCTGTACACTTTTCAGAAGCTGCATGTCTAAAGCAAGACCTGTGCAGACTCTGACAAGTTTGTGCTTTTCTGGTTGGGCAAGATGCGAAGACGGCAAGGCTCACAAGCATTCGAACCCTCTGAACCCACACCCTCGCTTCA